CTCCTACTACAGAACATGCAGTCACTAGGTATTAGCCATTTTTATGCTGTCAATCATCATCCTCTAGCTTCGCATATGCCTGAACAGCCCAGCCAGCCTCTAGGCCCTTGAGGGCAGAGACTGCATTTTACACATGCTTAATAAACACATCTTTATAACTAAATCACACGTGTTAGTCACTCAGCTGTGTGCAACTCTTTCCGACCCCATGGACTGTAAACCTGCCAGGCTGCTCGCTCCATGGAATTCCCCACGGACATGAAAGGCTAAGGGGATAAGTACAGTATACTAATGCACAGAACTAGTCTAGGGTTAGGAAGCAATAGCCACCACATATTTAGAGAAGGCCTCATTATGGACCAAGCGATACTTAGTAGGTTATGATAATTTTCATGGCATGCCATGAATACCTCACTCCAGAAAGTACCTAAACTTACATAGCAAATACAGAAGCTGTTATGTTAATAGCTAGCCTGTGAATTGCCAGAGATTCTTCTCCCCAGCCAGGCATCTCACAGGATCAACCATGGATTATATCAGGAGGAGGGGACCTATCATAGCAGATCTTTAGGCAGAGAGTAAATACTGGAAAATAAATTCTAAGTGACTGTGAGGTAGCCCTACTTACATTCTCCTAAAAATTGCAAGAAAATTTCTAAAGCATTCTATAGTTCAATGCCAAGGCAGGATATGACTGAAAGAAACTGGATTCAAAGGTCAAAGACCTGGATTTGACCCAGCTGTGTCACTACGCAAGTTTACATAAAGGAGAGAGGTGAGAAGTTTGTTTTAAGCAACATACCAAAGCTTTAATGTGCTGTCTCTCAGCTCCCTACTTCATACAACGCATTACCAATTTAAGAAAAATCCTTATTTTTTAACTTCAATAAAAGATAAACAAGAATGCCTTGTCACCATGCAATAACTCCATTCTATTTCTACAACACAAGACCATTTAGAGGTTTATTTTTTAATCTTTACTAAGTAAAGCTAAAGGTATATACTGTCATCCTGCTTATTTAAGTTATATGCAGAGTGCATCATGTGAAATGCCAGGTTGGATGAAGCACAAGCTGGAATCAAGACTGCCGGGAGAAAAATCAATAACCTCAGATATGCAGATGACACCACCCTTATGGCAGAAAGTGAAGAAGAACTAAAGAGCTTCTTGATGAAAGTGAAAGAGAAGAGTGAAAAAGCTAGCTTAAAACTCAACATTCAAAAAACTAAGATCATGGTATCTGGTCCCATCACTTCAATGCAAATAAACGGGGAAATAATGGAAGCAGAGACAGCCTATTTTCTTGGGCTCCAAAATCACTGCAGATGGCAACTACAGCCATGAAATTAAAAGAAGCTTCCTCCTTGGAAGGAAAGCTATGACCAACCTAGACAGCATATTAAAAAGCAGAGGCATTACCTTACCTACAAAGGTCCCTCTAGTCAAAGCTATGGTTTTTCTAGCAGTCATGTATGAATATGAGAGCTGGACCATAAAGAAGGTGAGCATCAAAGAATTGATACTTACGAACTGTGGAGTTGGAGAAGACTCTTGAGAGTCCCTTGGACTGCAAGGAGATCAAACCAGTCAATCCTAAAGGAAATCAATCCTGAATATTCATTGGAAGAACTGATGCTGAAGCTCCAATACTTTGGCCACCTGATGTGAAGAGCTGACTCATTGGAAAAGACCCTGACACTGGGAAAGATTGAAGGCAGGAAGAGAAGGGGACGACACAGGATGAGATGGCTGGATGGCATCACTGACTTGATGGACATGAGTTTGAGCAAGCTCCAGGAGTTGGTGATGGACAGGAAAGCCTGGCATGCTACAGTCCATGGAGTCCCAAAGAGTCAGACATGACTGAGCAACTGAACTGAAGTAAAGCTAAAGTCCTAGCAACTGAAGACACAGCTATTTTACATTATGATGAAATTTCAACAGGGAGAGTTATTTAATCCATTCATTCAAAAATATTTACTGAGCACCTATAGTCTGGTAGTTTCAACAGCTCAGTAAATAAAAAGAAACAATTAAAGGGAAGTTCAAATTCTAGTTGGAGGTGCCTAGTAAACAAACGAACAAATGATTAGAAAATACGTGGAATGATACTATGTTCTGGAGAGAAGTAAAGCAGGAGAAGGAGCATGAAGGGTGAAGACACAGACTTGTGATCCTCCACTGGAGGTTCAGGGACTTCTTCACTGAGGAAGCAGCACTGAAAGATAAGAAGTGAGTCTATGTCAGTATCTGGGGAAAGGGCTTTCCAAAGAAAACACACAAGTGCTGGAGTCCTCAAGCAGGAGATAAATTTAATGTAGATATTCTGGAAGAAAAAACAAAATTTAAACACCTAGAATGGAGTCCTAGCTCTTTGCCCTTTACCAACTCAGTAACCTTCAGAAAGAAAACATTACCCCTCCTGAACCTCAATATTTTACTCTGTAATTAAGGATACTACCATGTAACTTACAAAGTTCTTTCAATGGGAATATTTAAGAATGTACTTTACAACACCGAAGGATTATTACCAAATGTTTTTGTCCCGAGGGCTGTGGGAAATCTAATGGAGGCTCTGATGGCTTCCAGCTACAACTTAAATCAATGATCAAGTTTGCTTCCTTGTTTGTCAAATGCGGAGAATGGCATCTATCTCACCAGGCCTTGTGGGGATTGAGTTAATGAGATCATCCACAGAAATACAGGAACTGATACGCATATTTCTCAAAAAGTGAAAGATCAGCATTATCATCCCTATGGGGGCTGCTCTACAAGCAGGAAGAGCTCTGCTGTCCGGCTCAGCAACAGACGCCCTGGGTGAAGCGTTCTGAAGCTATTCCTTGGGCAAGTGTAGACCTGACTGGGCCTACATCGTTAGTCACTTCAGTCGAGTCTGACTCTTTGCGATCCCATGGACTGTAGCCCACCAGGCTCCTCTGTCCATGGGACTCTCCAGGCAAGAATACTGGAGTGGGCCACCATTTCCACCTTCAGGGGATCTTCCCAACCCAAGGATCAAAGCGCCTCTCCTAGTTTCCTGCTTTGGCAGGCGAGTTCTTACTACTAGCGCCACCTGGGAAGCCCTGATTGTAAAGTCTGTTTAAACACTTTGCAGGACTCACTAAGTGTTTTTCTCTCCTCCACATTCTACTGTGATGTTCCGGCTTGTAAGAAACCATTTTCATTCTCTTAAGTCTTTTCAATACATGCAGGTACGCTTAAAAGAGGCTTGAAATTAAGCTACCACCAAAGTGATTTTCCACCCAGTTTGTGACGTCTTCACAGCCCTTCTTCGGAGCCGCCTTACTTCACTAGCGTTTGGTGCTAGACGTGCTCCTTTTATAAGTACGTGATGACATCACTTCGCATCGCGCTTGCGCAGCTTGGTGGCGTGGCCACGCCCACGCCTGCGCGGAGACCTAACGTCCGCACAGTCTGTGGCGCGCGCCTTCCCGGAAGAAGTCAGTACGGGGCTCGGTGAGTGAGGTCCGACAGTAGGACGGCCGGCGGGTGAGTGCCCCGTGTGTCCGAAGGACAGCTGTGCGCTGGTGGCGAGGATGCTGTTAAAGGGGAAGAGGCAGGGTGACGAGGAAAGTTCCCGAGTCCTTCCAGAGTAAGCGAGAGTTGCAGTGGTTGGTGAGCTGATGACTCCGAAAAGCTGCGGATCTTCGGCTCAGAAGGCAGACTTTTTCTGAAGTGCTGATGCTGGTCGCCACAGAAAAGAAGTTACCATGGACTCACTTCCAGCGATTTCCTTGACTTTGCATTCGAAACTGGGAGAAAGGCCTGAGGTGATTTCGTCGGAAGTATCTGTAATTCGACCCCTTCCTGGCTAGCCTGCGCGCGATTGCTGTCCGCGGTGCTGAAAACAGCCGTATCTTCAGGAAGAAACCCGCTGAGGGCAGGGCAGTATTTACATTTTCCTCGACTTTGCTCAGAGACCTACGCTCTGTGTGTGTGCTGACGGAAGGGCTCATTTTTTTATTTTTTTAATCAGTGCTGGAAACGCAGGCGACGAGCAGACAACCAGCATTAGTTTCATAAAATTTAGGAAAGCCAGTGCTTCATTCTAAGACTGAATTTTCTTTTTTTTTTTTTTAAATTATATTATTTCGGCTTGGCTGCATTCTCCCTTTGTGCAGTCAGGAAACTTCAGTCCTTGCACCCAACCAGATGATTTGCCTTCAGACTCACAGCCATCCAAGTAGTTCACTAGACCTCTGTCTGTATTGACCCAGGCACTTCTACCAAGGTGAGCTTGCTTATGGTATACAGTGTTTTGTGAAAATGGGTTTTCCCAAACTCCCCTAATGAAGAGTCCAGAGCAGCCAGGGTAAGATGAAACGACTTTAAGGTGCTTTTCTCCACAGTTAGGCATGAAAAATACTTCCCCATTTGGAAGAGAGAGTCCAGAGCAGCCAGGGTAAGATGAAACGACTTTAAGGTGCTTTTCTCCACAGTTAGGCATGAAAAATACTTCCCCATTTGGAAGAGAGATAGTAGAACTGGGCAGTCTTCCAATAAAGGAAAAACCATGAGTTTCCAGTTGGTTTTCATATTTGTCTCTCTGTGTGCCTGAGGGATGGTGTTTCTCTGAATTATACACAGTGGATTTTTTTTTTCTGTTTTGTTGATTCAGTAAAATGTTTACTAGTCTTGGTACCAGCTGCTTGTTTGTTTTGAATTCTGATTAAGGTTAAAGTGTGTGTGTGGCTGGGGGTGGGGGACAGGGGAAGTATGCTGTGTTTACCTGTGTCAGTGTTCTGGGATGCATGTGGCATCTGGAAAACTATGCATTGTGAGTAAACATATGTAAAATGAAAGAATGCATTTAAAAACATCATCACAGCCCAAGCTGTATTTTTCCCTTCTGAGACAGAACCAATAGATTGAGATGCTGAATGATCAAAATATTGCAAAGCTAAGGCCATGGGGTAGAAATAACTTTGAATGTCCTTACTATTTAGCAGAAAGCTTATCAAGGCAGCTTTGATTAAAGATGACGTCTCTGCTCACTCAAGAAATTCGCCTTTCTAAAAGACATGAAGAAATGTAAGTTGTTGTTGTTGTTTTAAAAAGGCTAATCTCAATGTATGCACTGTACTGGCTTTATTAGTGACACTGCGCACAGGAAAACTTAAAAATCTCTAAGTGTGTCATTTTTTGTGACACTTGAGAGATTTTGGTTTTAAGGAATGTCATTACCCCTCAAGAACAACAAAGATTAAAAGGTCTGATTATGTTTTATGTCTTTAATTTCTTGTTACTAATATCTAGATAAATTCACTCTCCCTCTTAGCTGCTCTATGCTCTACACTGCAGTTCAGTGAACTTCTCTAAGCCTTTTACCAAGACCAGCTTTCATGAGTATGTGACCTGTATAGTCACAGGCCTTGCACTAGATTTAGTCTAAGAGCAACATTTTCATTTTGCACCGGCCTCTGCAAATTATGTGGCCAGTCCTGCAGTTTTATTTAGTATTAACCCTTCTCTAACCCCTGTTTTTGGGCTCTCATGTTTTGCTTTTCTTTAAATAATTACCAGCCTCTCTGCCGTGGCCTTCTAAGGTATTTTTTTTATGAAAATGACTTTTCAAAGACCTGGCTTTTTATTTCTACTCTCAAGAACAACCCTGTGCAACATACTGTTTCCTGAGAATCTCCTCAACTCTTTGAGAGATAGTTAGACTATTACTGTACCATTTGTGTATTTTTTCTCATTTGATCACTTAATAAGACTAAACACTTATAAAAGGAGCATTTAACCATGGAGAAACTTTTGAAGTCTGTTATATATAACAAAGTGCTTTGATAATTTATTTACAACTTTCTACATCTTCAATTAGTTTTTACCATGTTGTGAGTATGCATGTGTACACACAGCCTCTCACTCATATATGGAACTATCATCTTTCTCTTGGAAAAAGAGGAAAAAAATATTTTTATTGCTGCTTCAAACATATGGAAGTTTAGCACAATTCTAAATGTGTAACATAAGATTCAGGGGTACTGAAGTGTTAAGCAGAAGGTTTTGTATAGCAAGTCATACCAATGTCTGTGTGGGGAGGTATATTTAAGTGTGTGTACAAAGGGGTATGGATTACAGTTTGCATTTGCACTAAATATTTTCCAACACTTTAAAATACTTTCAAGACTAGAGAGGTTAAAAAAACACAAGTGTGTACTTACAGTGTAAATATGAAAATAAAAATAATTTCACTGAGACTGAAGACTTCCTGAACTACCTAAGTTTTTCACTGTCTTATTAACTGACATATAGTAACTGACTTTAAAAGTAGGTTGAACTGGAAGTGAGGTGCAATTAAGAAATGATTTATATTGGCCAAGCAATAAAATGTTTCTTTTTAAAATCTTTACATAATCTTCATTTTTTTGTAGAGTATCACAAAGATTAATGTTACTTCAACGAATGGAGAATAAACCTGCAGATCAAAACAAGGGAAAGGCCTCACAGACACAAGCAGCTAATGCTGCTTTACAAAGGAATGTTAGTCTTTTAAAGGTAAGATTCTCTGAATGAATGAAACCTATTTTCCCCACTTTTGCAAAAAGGTTTTAATTCAATTTCATTACTTTGATTTATGTAATTCCTTTGAGTAACAAATAGAATTAATGATACACTACTATTTAAATTCATGTTAACTGGACAAGAAGCATGGATTTTCACATATTAAAATGAGAGCCTTGACGTTTGCTTAGGCTAATGAAAAATCAATAACTATAAAAAGAACTTTAAAGCCATCTTTGTACAAGAAGTAATGAATACAAGACATAGCTTCTGGAGACTTCCCTGGCATCCCAGTGGTTAAGAATCCATCTTCTGATGCAAGGGACATGAGTTGGATCCCTGGTCAGGGAAATAAGATTCCTCATGCCCATATCGCAACTAAGACCTAACGCAACCAAAAAAAAAGACATAGCTTCTATCTTCCATCTTCTTTTATTTGTAGGGAGATTCTGAAACACGATAAAGTACCTATCATATGCTAGAAACAATCTGATTTTGCCCTCCTGGGGCCACAGTCAATATACAGATTTTGTATCTAAGGTAACAGATTTCCCAGGATCTTCTTTGATGGTGATGGAGGAGGTGGTCAAAGTATGTGACTGCGCAGGGCCTCACCATTTGGCCAGTGTGCCCATTTGGAGTAAAATCATATGTGTAACATTTTTGGCTGCTTGCTGTACTTTGCTTCCAGAATTGTATGGCTTCATCCATAATTAAAACCCTAAAGTTTGCTTCCATTCGAGCTTCCAAGAGATCCTATGACTAAAACATTTGGTAGTAAGGCTATATTATTTAAGTTATAAAGCAGTGTTTTCAGTTTTTTATTGTTAAATATTTTCATCGATAGGCATGATGTAGTTCTCTTCTGTCCTCACTAGAGGATAAAGGAAGAGGAAAATTCAGTTATCTTCTCAGCTTCTGGCAGTTTGATCCACAGTAATTTAAGTCACAGCCATAGTGCTACCAAAGCATTCTATATTGCCATATGTCTTACTTGCCCAATGGTATTTGCAATATTTATTTTTAAATGGAAATATATAGGGTAATCTAGAAGTTGCTCTGAAAAGTCAGAAAATCCAAATTGGAAGTCTTCACGGCTTGCTTGCTACTTGTTACGGTGAGTGTAGGTAATATCGGCGAGTGCAGGTAATATTGTCTTCCTTTTAATGCCCAAGTATTTGACGAATGCCCAGCTCTTTACTCTTGAGCTAGTTTTGAGCAGAAAGTGAGGGTAACAAAGTAACTACAAGTTAGGTCCTTTACATCAAGTAGCTTACAGGCTCTGTTCATGACCTAAAATATATGCAAAACAGAGACCCTGTATGATCAAACATTAATTACACGCTGTGGAATACTCAGCACTTTGCTGTGTGCTCAGTCGCTCAGTTGTGTCCTACTCTTTGTGACCCCGTGGACTGTAGCCCGCCAGGCTCCGCTGTCCATGGAGATTTTCCAGGCAAGAATACTGGAGTGGGTTACCACGCCCTCCTCCAGGGTACTCAGCACTTTAGGAGTGTTAAAGTACTTAGCACTTTAGAAGTGTTAAAAACTCTTGGAGAGCTAGAATATTCTATGAGGTCTCAGAGAAGAAGCTAAGCTAAGCGGGAAGACATTCCATTGAGTTCTCAAGGACGAGCCAAGACCAGAAGAATGAATGGCCTATTAATGTTCACGGGATCCTAAGCTAACTGGCTTGGAAGGCCCCAGGAAACAGGCTGAATGTATATTGTGAGATGAAATGAAGTTGAGACTTGGTATGTAGAGATAATACAGTGTTGTGAGCAAAAAAAAAAAAAAGCAAGACTTAAACATATGAAAGAGTTTTTAAGAAAGATTCATTTGCTATTTAGCCAAGTAATTTCAAAAATGGAGAGATTTAAGGAGGTAGCTAAGAAATCACTGTCATATCTAAAAGGAAGGTAATGAACCTAGTTTCATAGTCTTGACAAACCAGTTTGGTATGGTGTTTCTTCCCTTAATTATCAAAATAATATACTCTCATTATAAAAAAAACTTGAAAGAGCCAAGATGGAAAACCTTCTATATCATCTGCCTGTCCAGAAATTAGTATATTTTTCTATATTTCTTTTCAGCTTTTCATAAACTTTTTTTAACTCTTTTACATCCCAGGTAAAGTTACAGATGCAGTTTCCCCCTAGTTTGTAACATGTGTGCTTAGTCACTTTGAATAATTGGATTTGCAACCTTTTTTTGTCCTTTCCCTCATATATAATTTTTATATACAAGGGATATAATTTTAGTGGCTCTCCCACAGAAGTTATTGTTAAGATAAATAGGACTTGATTGCAGAATTTGAGCTGGGAAAGACTGTAAAAAGCATATAGCTTTAGATTCTTATCTAAAGTATTTTTTGTTTTGCTAGTTTTGTTTTTTAGCATAAAAACTTTCCCCGCAGATGTAAAATAAAGGTCATCCCCGATACTTAGTGGTAAACAACCCACTTGCCAATGCAGGAGATGCGAGTTCAACCCCTGGGTCGGGAAGATCCCCTGAAAGAGGGAATGGCAATCTACTCCAGTATTCTTGCCTGGGAAATACTATGGACAGAGGAGCCTGGCGGGCAACAATCCAAAGGGTCACAAAGATTCAGACATGACTGAGCACACACAGTAGATAAAAGTGGTCCTGCTCTGGCCCAAAGTCCTACAATCCCTTCCTTGACTGTACTGCCGGGGCTCTAGAGAACTGGGAAAACCACTGATCTGGGCAAATCCCTTAATTTATAGAGATGAGAAAACCATAATGTATCACTCCTAACATCCCTTTGCAAGAACAGATTAAATAGGATTTCTTGGGCAGTTCAGTGGTTAAGACTCTGCTCCCAATGCAGGGGGCACAGATTTGATCCACAATCAAGGAATAAGATCCTCCTGAACACATACACACACAAAGAGATTAAGTTAGAGCAGGATAGGTACTTAAGTACCGAGTGCAATTGAAAATGTTGCCCTTAAAACCTGGTAGCACTCCTATAAGATAGTAAACAAAGTAAGGATGGCTGTATACTGTCCATTATCTGACCTTATTCCCATGTTCTGAACAGTATCATGAACACTAAAAGGGCATGAGCTTTAACTTTAAGAAAGAAAGATATCACACTAGCATCTTTCAATGACATGTCTTTATACTTAAGAGAAGCCAAAGTTGTTTCAAAACTAGTACGAGTTGAGTAAAATTAATAGGTAAAACATAAACATATAAAAATCAATAGCAATCCTATGTATACAGGTGGAAAATAGAGATCACATTCACGTTAGCAATAAAATTATAAAATACATACTTGGGAATGCTCTTAACAAAGGATCTGTTTGACTGCTATGAAGATAATTATTACACTTCAGTGGCAGTTTTAAGGGAAAGCTTAAATGAAGACATAAGCCTTAATCCTGACTGGGGAAACGATTATTTTTTCTAAGTCATCTGTCACAAAATTATTTTTAGATTTAGTAAAATCCCAACAAAAAGTGTCTTTAATTGCATTTGAATAAATAAATTAGCACAAATCTCAAAGACTGATTTTAAAAGGGGAATGAGAGTAATCCCGTCAAAGATTCAAACTTAGTAAAAAGTGTATATGAATGTAAGTAGTGAAGAAAATTCACAGTGAAGGTTTAGTCAGTAAATGTCACGGAAGACAGTGGATTTTGAAAACTGGCTCAGTGATTTTTTTTCTGTTACCGTTAATACAATGAACTCTGTCTTTTAAAATCAAACATAAATGGACTTAGAAACCTGAAAATATTTTATTCTACAAATATTTCCATGATATAAACCACCCTCTCTCCCACCTTTCCCTCCACAAAATTTAGTTTAAACCCCAAAAGATGCTTTTTTGGCAACAGGTCCAAGAGGACAGAGTGAGGAAGAACGAGAGTGTCCTCCAGCAGGTCAGACACACAGCCAGTGTTCTTCGGGACGTCCTGGAAGCCTCCACGGGGCAGCTGGCAGTCACAACTGCCACCCAGGATGGCCAGTACTTGCCGGCCCAGGCCTCTGCTCTTTCCTCTCACATTTCTCACTTTCCCCAATGCGTATGTTTAACACATGTCTCTGCGTTCTTTGTACCAATGACCCTTACACTTCATGTCTTTCACATCTTACTTTTTGTATCCCAGAAATTGCCACTCCAGCAGCTTAAAAGATTAAACCCAGCCCAGCCGCAGCTCGATGGGGAGGGAGGGATGTAGGCAGGGAGGAGCAAAGACAGATCTTGGTACTTGATGCTTTGTGCTCCTTCCTTTTCCTATTCAGGAGTCAACTTGTTTATACAGGCTCCCGAGTCATGCCATAGTCACAGTTATACCGTCACCCACTGGAAGCTTGTTTTTTAATTGCTATGAAAAATCTCACAACTATGCAAAAGAAGGGATCGAAGAATATTTCCATGCACTTATCACCCACATTCAATCATTGTCAGAACACAGCCAGCTTGTTTTGTCTATACTCTTCACCTCTACCCCCTCACATCACTTTGAAGCTAACCTTCAGACACTGCATTGTTTCACCTGTAAATATTTCTGTACATCCCTTTATTTCAGTGTCTGTCACTAAAAGATAAGGACTGTTTTAACCAAAATCAAAATGTCAGTATCAACCTAAGAAATTAACAATAAACCCTCAAATAGCTAATCAGGTTCCAAATAAAATTCAACTTGTAATTGATAGGTTTCCTAAATTTCTCACAGTCCTCCCTGCTCTTTTATCCACACTTTTAATACATTTGTTAAAGGAATTGGGTCATTTGTCCTGTTGAGTTTCTGGGTATCGCTACTTCCATCACTGAGGTACTCATTTAACATGTTGCTCTGTTCCCCCTCATTCCTTTTAATATAATTGACAGATCTAAATTGTGTTGTGCAACAGAAATGTGGTGCAAGCCACATATGTAATTTTAAATTTCCAAGGAACTAATTTTAATAATGTCAACCTGAACAGATTAAATCAAATGTTAAGACTTCAAACATATTTCAAATGTAATTGCTATAAAAAGTTAGTAAATATTTTATATTCTATTTTCTTACTAGACCCTCAAAATTCAGTGTGTATTGTACATCACAACACATCTTAATTCAGACGTGTATATTTCAAGTGCTCAGCAGCTACTTGAGGCTAAGAAATACTCCATTAGCAGTGCAGATTATAGAGAGGCCTGAGCAGATTCAGATTCTATGTTTTTGGGAAAAACACTTCCATAATGCCAGCTGTCTCTCTTTTTTTGGAATGTTAGGCATTGATGATCACTGCCTAAGTATACTCATTAGGGGTTATGAAAAGCAATATTCAAATTCTTTTATTCCTTCTCATTCAACTGCTGATTAGTTATATTAAGAGACACTTGTCCTCATCAATTATTTGATTACACTGAGGTGTATTTCATAGAGGAATAAGCATGACGAATGCTTGATTCTATTTAGTTTTCAGAATAATAGGTTGGCTCTCTACTGTCCTGCAAAAGTGACCAATTAGGTGTTGTTGGTTTTGGTTGGTTTTTTACATTGTTTTGTGTTTTGTTGCTGTTGTTTTTTGAGGTGTCCTGGGTTGGAAATGTTTCAATCCATTTCAGTATTTATTCCCGTTTATTGTCAACTTGTTCCATTTTAAAGAAGTGGGAACCTCTTCAGATTAGCTCCTGAATGCCTCTGCTGAGATCTCAGCAGCATGACAGTTTCCTTTCTGTTCTGATGAAACATTCCAGGCTCATCATGTGCATTTGTTGCTGAGACCTGGAACAGCCACTGTTCCAAGGAGCCCTGGATCCTTTTGGTAGGAAATATGTTTGGAGCCCTCTCTCTGGGCAATGGTGGTGTTTATTTTGACCTTTTTTTTTTTTTTAAAGATAAGAGCTCCTATCAGAAATTCCAGGATTCCAGTTTGCAAGGCTTTTAACTTAAAATCATAGATTTTATACCTCTTCTTTTTCTGAAATCCAAAATCTGTTCCCAAAGAAGTTTCCAACACCAGCACAACTACTTCTGTACCTTATATCCTATGATCCAGACAGCACTGTCACTATCCATGTGATTATAAAGAATCGTTTTCAGTAAGATGCTTTTACTAAGATTCTTTTTGTCCTTAGGGTGTATCTCACTAGGGGTGCTCACTCAAAATATTGTGTTCTAAGGTCACTTGATATGTTTATTCTCTGTGTAGTTATGCCACCTACTAGACAGCAGTTAGATCTGTTTATTTTCAAGCTGTAGGGACTGCTTTGTCAGTTGTTTTCTAACTACATACAACTTTAAATGGTCCAGTGACAAGTCCATACAAGACAGCAAGGTAGTCAGGTAAAGCTGGCCAGCAAGCCCCTGTCCTCCTCTTTCTTCCTTTTCTTCCCTCACCCCCTTGGGTACTTTTTTCTTTTTCTTTAAAGGTTCTGATTTATACTCTGGATTCTTTGACCCTTCAGCCTGTATTTACTTAATGAATATTTCAGTACCTAGTACATACCCTGCACTTATTAGATTCTCAGATGCTTAAAGGTTATATAAGACATAGTCCTTTCCTTTAGGCAGCATATAGTGGAAAAGAAGGTTCTTAAGTTGAAGGATTAAGATACAACTTGCTACAGAAGGATGCTGTCAAATTGCTGAGATTCTGAGTCAGGCTAAGGAATGCCTGCTTGATCCTCTGTGTTGTGGGTACCAATTTATCTTTTTTTAAATCTAGGGGAGGACATATGTAAAGTAGCTTTTAGCAGAACTAATCAATTCCAAGTTATGTATGTATTAAAGTACGATATGGTCTAGGCATGAGTACAAGTAAGCATTAAGTATTTGTTGAATGAATAAGTGTAATTAGAAGGCCACAGTATTAAGAATCACATGAAAAGGCCAGAGGAAACATCCTGAAAGAACAATATAGGGAATGCTGAATTTTTAAATGGCAGGAATAAGATTTGGAATTACACGATACAGCATAGGTATCTGAGTGGATAGAATTCCCACTAGTATATGTGTTTAATACATTCAGTGGAAAAAGATGACTTTAGTTTTATCAGGTTTAGAATTAAGGGCCAGGAAGAGAAACTAGCCATCCTTCTATGATAATAATTGATACTGGATCAGAGACAATCTTGGAGGCAGAAAAAGTGAAAAGCTGGGGCCAGATGTCTCAAATCTTAAGAAAGCCCACACTGAGGATTAATGAGAGAAAAAAAGAGCCAGCCAAGGAGCAGAGGGGGAGGAGGAGTCCGAGAGGTAAGTGAAACATTGAAGGAAGTGAAATATGACTTGAGCTAAGGAAGAAGTTCTCTCGAGGGGTGATAATCCCTTGTCCAAATGCTGCAGAGATGACAGCCGGGTTTGGCGGACTTGGGCCTGCTTTTCCAGGCCATGCGTCCCTCTCCTCCTGTCTGCTCTTTCCACTGCAAATCTGCTCTTCTCTACAAGATACTCAGTATTCTTATTTTCTGATCTTTAAGAAAAATGTTTAACCTTGCCTATAGGTTGCAAAGAGTCGGACATGACTGAGCGACTGAACTGAACTGAACTGATAGGTGCTAGCAGCACCTAGATCTCCCAGTTCAGGTAACTTTGTAACTGTTCTTAGAATACTGGTAACATTGGGATTGTGAGTTTTGTTTGATTCCTAGATGTATAAAGTGGTTTTCTCAGAACCCTGTTGAATCTGAGTGTAAACAGAAGAGTTGGTATCCCCTGTCTGTTGTATCATTGACATCAAAAGCCCTCTAAGCCTGCGTGTTGGTCGTGAACTGCTGGTATGGGATAGAGTTGCTAATAGATGAGCTTTTTATCCCTAAATCATTTTCTTTCCCCTTCAAATCACCTTCCTCCAGACAGCAGGTGCACTAATGGCTGTGCAACTTTGGGGAGTCCCTTTAGGGAATTTCCTGTTTTTCCCTTTTCCATTTCACACCCATCCCTTGCTCCCGCCGCTGCCATCTGCTATCTCTTTTCTCCTGTTCAGCGTTGGCTTCTTCACACCCCACTCCCACGCCCTTTTCCATCGCTCTCCTTCTGTCCAACAGCCCTGTACTCAGATCGCTCCGGTGCTTCTACATGGAGCGGAGAACTTTTTCTTTTCTATCAACTTATTAAGCTGAGAGACAGAATTTACACAGCCTTCCCACCAGCGGCCCTGTGAACTTGACAAACCTGAGCAAGCAGGAGACAACAGAGGTGCTGATTTGGGGAGAATTTACTACGCGGGGCTTGAGTATCTCTCTAACAACTTGTAAAGTCTTACATTTCTGGGCATGAACTTTATGTACAGATCTAGATAAAATTGTTCCTGAAGTATGAATCAAGCTTAAATACTCTTGTGTTTCTACATCCATAAGAGAAAACATAAGTATCTACATGTTTAAGTACTTGGTAACACATAGTGCTTGAATGCCATGAGCTGAAGGATATGCTACCTCGCAATAAAATTTGCCTTTGAGATTAGCTTAGAAATCTGGTACTAAAAGTCTAAACAGCGTAGCAAAAGGTTCTTATTGCAGAGTACTCAGGTACCTCATGGACCTTTTAAATATAGGGACTATTTGCCTATGTATAAAATTCAAATACGAAGTCCTGCATAAATGAAAGGTGTGTCATTGATATACCATGTGCATGATCTAGACAGACTAGAACTCTCCACTTTGAAGGTTAGCCTAGCGTGGGTCTGAGGATCTGATTGTTTTTAGTATCGGAATATTTGACTATTTTATCCATCTGGCTGTTTTTAAAGGATTTTAAAGCTAAGTTAGTCCTCTGAGCAGTTTTAGAGGAAGTTCTTTTTCCAAGAATTATTGGCATTTACTAACTACTTAAAATGAAAAAGGCAGAACTTAGATGTACCACCCCATCCCCTGCCTTTTATTTTAAAATAAGAAACACTTGCTTCTCTATTTGCAACTGGTTAATTAAGCAGTGATCAGTTCTCTGTCAGCATCATCTCCATGAGTTTAAACTGTGTATGGTATGCAGAGGAGAGTTGAAGCAAGAGATTAGAAATACATAGCTTTTGCTATTAGAGGTGCTGTGTGTGTCTGTGAATGTTTTGAAAAATGCTTCTATCTGTTTCAGGATATAGAAGCAGCAGAAAAGTCTCTACAGACCCGGATTCATCCAGTTCTACCACCTGAGGTGGCTGCTCTTGAGGTGAGAATCTTAAGGAACAAATGTCCAACAAGAGATTCCTGTTCTGTCAGTAGTGCATTTTAAGTGGCTCTGTGTATTTCCCAGCTTTCTGCATCCAATAAAATACACAAAATGTATCTGATTGATCTCTCTGTCCACAGTGCCATACCTTGTACAATGTAGTAGTCTGTAAGTATTTTGGTTTTAAAAAATTTTTACATCAAGTGAAAATTTTATCGAGACCTTGTGTCTTTTCACCAAGTCACTTAGAAACTACTTTCTTGTTAAATCCTAACAGACAATATGCACTAAATCTTAAGATGACAGCCTCACCAAAATGCTTTTCCTGTTGGCTGATGTTACAAGTAGCAGCTCAGTCTCTTCACCGAAAAATGCAACCAGCGCTATTTAAATGCATATTATCATGCAGCACAGCGTGGCTTTTGTCTGTTTGATTTTGCTCTGTTCAAGAACAGATTGAGAAGATGGCTGGCAAAAATAAACCATAGTTGGTATATGCATGTAAGTGTGCCGAAAGGGAATCTGCTACATATAAAATAGTTTCACTATATTTTTAATGACCTTTTTCTAAGTGCAGTTTTGCTTGCTGCCTAACCAAGGAGGTGAACAGACTCAAAAATGAAAGGCTGAGAATTTGCCCCGCAATCTTCTGTGTCATCTAGGGTAATAAGAAAAGGCAGTGATCAAGGACAGAAAAAACTCCCGTTCAAAGTTGTGCCCTGGGCATGTCTTTTTCTTTGTTGAATTTTCCAATACCTTACCTTGGCCTGCACAGGGCCCACACAATAGGGGTTAATCCAGCCGTGAATGGCGGAGAAACACCCAACCACAGTCCTCGGCTGGTATTTTTCTTAGCTAGTCTCACACAGCAGGATGGCCCCTGTTTTAAGTACGTCAGGCTACTTCTAAGACCACATGCATAGATGCCTAGATAAATGGAGTCCCATGCCATCTTCAGCTTGCAGAACTCCCGTTATCTTTTTTTTTTCTTCAAATGACAGTATTTTATTTTTTTGGTCATGCAGCACATGGAATCTTAATTCTCTGACCACAGGTCGAACCCAAGCCCCCTACTGTGGAAGCGCCGCATCCTAACCACTGGACCACTAGGAAATTCCTCCCACCCCATACCTTTTTATTGCTCAGAGTGTGTCCCCAATGCTATCTAACTCTTTGAATTTCCCAAGATGAGACTGATAGTGACGATCTCATGTAAAATGCCCTCCTATGACGCAGAGTTTTTGGCAGCTTACTTAGGACAGTCAACCAAGAAACCACCCAGCTCACGGACAGCCGTCCAGTGATGCAGCTGGAGTCTCTGTGGCTTAGGGACCGCTCCAGCCAAGGCAGAAACACAGCACCTCAATTTCCAAGTTATTTGAATTAAAAATAGCTAGCTGATGTTGGTATTATTTTGTCATTATCCAAAAAAGTGTGGGAAGAAGCTACAATTTGCCACATCAAGTGCTGTTCTAAAAGACAGAGTGGATACGTATTTTTAATGTTTCTCCCTCATACAGTTAAGGGGTTAATTCACCCGAATCCTGTTATCATCCTCTTTATATTTCAGTTCCTGATCTCATCCCGGGTCACTTCTTTTTCTGTTCATTCTAAAGCATTTGTTCACAGTGAATCATGTCATTGTGATAATTATAGTATGAAGAGTCATTTGGTACGGGATTAGAAACATTAAACAAGAACTTTTAATGATTTTTGTGGCCATAAATGATACTACTGGGAATAATCACATGATTGGCCACAAGAGGGCGTGTAAAATCACAATAAAATTGTAAAACCTGTAATTCTGCCAGGCTCTGGTTTTACTGAGAAATTTGAAAATTAACACTAGTAAGTAGCCAGATTTTTTTTTCTAAAATTAACATAAAATATTCTGCAGAGGAAGTGCATTCTACGTATGTGTGTGAGTGTGTGTGAGTGTGTGTGTACACGCACACTTAAGGGAATAAACATTTAGACTATTATGAAGAGCCAAGTTCAATTGCTTGATATGCTTTTTCACTTTTGGATGTTTTTTTTTTTTTCTCCCCCAGACTCTTTACTGGGCATCAGTAGAAGAATATATTCCCAAATGGGAACAGTTTCTTTTAGGAAGAGCACCGTATCCTGCTAGTAGTGAAAATGGAAATGAAGCAGAAGATACCATTCAAAAGAGGGCACAATAGCTTCTCCACATAGTATTTCAGAAACCTATCTAGTAAAGCTGTATATTAAAGAGCATTCAGGTCACTGCGGGGACTTTAGGAGTCAGAGAGATTGCCTCATTACGTCCTCTGTGACAATGAAGGTTTGAGAATCTACCGGCAACTTTCAGGTTATCACTGGAAGATCTACTGCCATTTCAGTGTCATAAACTTGTTTTCCACCAAACCCATGGAAGTGTTAAAAGCTGATATTGGAAAATGGGCTGTTGATTAAATAAGTTGCTAACTGAGTGTTGTGTGCTGTTTTGTTTTTTTCTAATCATATACCATGATTCTCATCTAAAGAGTGAATACCAGATTATACATTTTCTAGAATCTTTACTTTTCAGTTATTTTATTAAGAGGATAAGGCACAAGATCCAAGAGGTTTGCTTACATTTTAGTTTTTTAACAGGTGAAAAGACAATGACAACTGCTTTAGTACAGTAACACTGATTAGGAAATGAGTCATAGGATTTTGTCCCTCATAGATAACTGATCCTGTAAAAAATTCTGGAAGAAAGAAGTAAACTGTTAAGTGTTCAATAAGCAGCTAGTTTCAGCAGGGCTCAGACTGGGTTCTGAGAAAGAACTAGTAGAGCTGAGAATGGTCACTGGATTTTGAGTTGATTATTTAAAGAGCACCAACCTGTGAATACAAGTAACTCCTCTTATCTTTTCATCTTTAAATCTGCCCTTCCCTCTCCCTTCTATTTTTGTTATTTCTCAAACAACTGTCAGTCAGAAAGCTTTGGGTCACAACCCTGAACAACCCTGAGACTGTTCAATCCACCACTGCTGGAGAGCTAAAAAAAAAAAAAAAAAAATTCTAATTTTTCTAATTATAAAAGCAGTTCCTGCTTAGTAAAGGGAGTCCACATCACAATGAAAGACTTTCCATTTCAAACTGGTTTGTAGTTTTATAAGATAATAGGACAAGCTGGAAAAAAAAAAAATCCATTGTGCTGATAGTTCCTTTAAACTACCATCTTGGAAATATCCTGTTGAGTGGGTGTTGGTGTGGGTAACAATAATGTTGTTTTCATAATATGTGCTGGCAGATGAGCACACTTCTCTCCAGTGTTAACAGTTGTAATTAAGGAATAAACAGCACAGAGTGTCAGTCCGATGACAATTTCATCTATAATGTCACAATACAAAATGTCACAAAATATTAGAACTGTTACATAACTATAAAAAGGATCGGCTTAAAAGCTGAAAGCCCTTTAAAAAGCAAGACAGAAAAAGGAAGAAAAAAGAAAACTGGCATAGAGACCAGAACAATTTTATACCTTCTCAAGAATGTTCTGTCACGAAAATAAATTGATATATTTTTTTTTTCCTGTTACATTACAGTTTGGTTTCTAGCCATCCAGTTGATTTAGCAGGAGAATGCAGGGCTTTTTAGCAGCTTCGAATTGGTAAACAGATTTAGATGTAGTAGGGAGAACATGAGGAAGTTTTTTTTTTCTTAACATCCAATCTTTCCCAGCATATGCACATAAGAAGGTGAATGAAGCAATGTGAAACTTATTTCTCTTTAGTCAAGTGAAAAAAAAAGGCTAAACATTTGTTGAGATGGTAAAATATTGTGTCAAGCAAGTAGGCACATTCCAAAATTAAACAGTGGTTGATACGTGAACGTCCTCAAATATTTGAGCATTACGCTTCCTTTGAGTTCTGTAAATTAAATCACCAGTAGGTTAGATTAAAATACAAAATGAATAGCAATGTAACCATCTCAGAAAAGGTTCAGGTTTTTTCACCCCCAAATTGATTAACTTGCTAAATTGTGTTTTCAATAAGCCTAAGTTTAATGTTCCCCAGGTTATGATTTAGGGCAGAGGGGAAGGGATTTCTGGGCTTTGACTGTTCCATTTCCCCCATTTCTAGTTAGTACCTCAACAACTCCCAGAGAGGACTTTATTCCTGGCCCCCATAGAGCTTTTCCCCAGGCCCCTCCTTGTAGCCTGGAACAGATTGCACCACATGGTGTATGTTAAAAAAAAAAAGTGCCCAAAGGGACCTGGATACCCCCATTAAAGGGAGTTATAGTCCTCATATCAAATTAGCTTTAGATAGGAATTTCCAAATATTTTTTTTCTGTAAGGAGGGGAGAAATACCATATCTAATACAGATTTTGGACGTAATTAGTAGGAAAAAGACAAGGAAAAAGAAATGTCATCCATTGAGTCTTTCCTCTCTAGTCAGTGCCCTTACATATACTATATTGTATATCCACTAGCTTTTATGAAAACTATGAGTTTCTTTTTTTTTTCTTCAGAATAATGGGGTTTTCTAAATAAAGCTTGTTCCAAGAATTTTTCATAGCCTTTCTTGGGTTACTGCAAATGCATAAATATTCAAAGCTCATTCAAAGCTGAAACACTTCTAGTGTATGATATTATTAAGCTACAAAATGCTAAAGATCAGAAGGAGCTGTAGTTTTTCTCCGAAATATTAATTTTACTAAACTACTCAGGGAAAAGCCTAATACTCTGGAAACCAGACATCTGCTCTTTCCCATGCGTAGGGAGCAGTGTGAATGAAAGTGATGTCAAAGGACAGTTTTTCTCTGCCTTCTATACAAGGTGTTTTAACTTGCTAGCTTAAGATTTAGATGAGAATTAAAATAATCTTTAACAGTCATTACCATTTTGTATTCTCTGCTTCATTCTCCTTTATCTATTAAGAAAAAAAGGTGTGTGAGTATATTTATTTTTGATTCAAAATTAAATTTATTTGGAGATTATTTTATCACTTTTGAGGCATCTGGAGACAGATTAAGGGTAAAGTGAGGGAACATTTATGTGAAAAACCAGGATACACAATCATTAATTTTAGACAGGAGGAAGATATTAGCATTAAACCCACAGTACAGTGGGTTATATTGTATAAAATTTAATGCACAAGGCCATGAATTTGTCTTATCTACAAAATACATTCTTTTCCTTCCTAAGTCTATTGTCTTTTTACTCTAAGCCAATTCACATCCTTTTATTTTTATTTTTTTTTAAAGAAATCCTCTTGTTTAGAACAAAAAGTTCTAAATCTCCCTGAAGAGTTTTCCCCTGCTTTTCAAGAATTGCCCAAACATAATACCTACACGGCTTAAAACATTCTTCATTTCAGTAGTCTATTTTGACTCTTCCACTTTAATTAGGATACTAAGTTTGTTTTTAAGAGTTGCTGATCAAAATCTCCTCTTCAGAGAAGGTAGTAACTAGATAGTGAATTCAAACAGTAAAAGAAAGTCTGTGGAAAATATGGAGAAGGGGAAGAGGAGAGAAATTACTTTGAGAAAGCTTCAAATTGAAACAAGAAAGTGTGTCTGTGCCTCTCTGTTTGGTGGTGTTTTTGTTTGTTTCTAATTTAGAAGTCAATTTGTCTACATAGGAAATTTAATTCCCTACTGCTAATAAGAGAACAGTTAAAAGAGTTTCCTGGGACAAACATGGAGACATGTCAAACTTCAGCAATTACGTAGAGGACTGATTTGTGAATTTGACACCTGGCATTGTGATCTCCCTTTCTAACTGGAGCTGAGATTATATCCTTAGTAAAATCCAAGACAAGGAAAACCAGTCCAACAGAAAAGAGGCTAAAAAATGCTTCCGGACATCATCTTACCTCTCAGAATCAAGTTTCCTTGCTTACAAGAGAAAGGACTGGGTTTCCAACATTGTAATAATGTTTTAAAGTTCTTGCTATTTTAAAAACTCTAATTTGTGTCTCAGGCAGAGTCTGAGACTGTTGAAGTAGTAGCCTCATCACAGTGCAAATCAATAAAAAGCGGAGAGGAAACAATGAGGGGTTCTTATTTTAGAAAGCAGGAATGATAGTTGCTCTCATCTTGACAACTATGATCCAACTGGATCATTTAACCTCCACCTTTATAGTCAAAGGTTGTTTTTTTTTTAATTACTCTTTAATAAGTCTAAGCTTTCAATATTGAAAAATTTCTGATGTTTTACATAATACCACTTTGGAGACAATCCTATTAAATTAGAAGGAAGCAAACTTACACTTATTTTGTCTAGTCTATCTCTGGCTTCTTTCATCTCCCTATTAAGTGTTTTTTATACCTTGTCTCTTTATACATTTACAAGGTCTATAATACTTACAAGCATATTTTTGTACTAGAATGTTTTACTCCAGGAAAATACTGAGTTATTCAAAAGAAGCCAAATCTAGAGCCTTTTAAAATGATACCAGCAAACACAAAGCTTGAGCATCATTCATGCATTCCCTAGACCTCACTGCCTGCCTACTGTGTAGTAGGCACAGTTCTAAGCACCAGGAATATAGCAATACACAATACAGCCAAAAAACAACAAACTTGTCATGGAATTTACATTCTGGAATGGGCAATGGGCGGAAGGAGTTGAAGATAGTGAAACAAAAAAGAATACATGATCTTATAGATGATGATAATGTCTAATAATGTATGAACTTCTAAAATGTCTTCTCTATGGAAAAAAAGAAAGCAAATGTCATAGTTTCACAGGAAATATGACTGGAATAGAGACTCCCCCCATCCCCATTCATAGATCTTGAGTTAGGGTTGTCCAGTGAAGCAACATTTCCACTGCTACTAATTTGGAAGCGATGTAATCTTAATGGATAGGGAGGTAGTTGTTGAAACATACAATCGACCAGGATGGAATCATGAATAGAAAACCTGAACAAACCAATGATAAGGAAACTGATCAGTAATCAAAACCTCCCAACAAAGAAAAAAGCCCAGGACCAGATGGCTCCATGGTGAATTCCACCATGTATTTAAGTAAGAATTAAGGTGAATCCCTCTCAAACTCTTCAAAAAAAAAAAAAAATTAGAGGAGGAAACATTCCAAAACTCATTTTACAACGCCAGCATCACCCTGACATCAAAGCCAGATAAGGACACCACAAGAAAAAAAAACAAAAACAAAACTTAGACCAATATCCCTGATGAACACAGAGACAAAAATTTTCAATG